ATTATAAATTGAAATAATTTTTGGAAAGCAGTTTGTAATAAGTAATGAATCATAGAAATATTTATGTCTCTTTTATCTAAATCTTACTTCTGGGTGTTTATCCTAAGGAAATCATTCAAAAGAAGAAAAACATATTTAGAAAAAAGGTATAGATTTGTTCATTATATCATTTTCCATAATTGTTAAAAAAGTGGAAACAAATTCAGTTTTCCGCGGTGGAGATGTAGTTATGTGAATTACTGTATCTTTATGGAATATTATGTATGTGTCTGCCAAAATAATTATAACAATAATATAGCGACATGTAAATTGCCTCCAATTAATGGCAAATGAATAAAACAGAATATAAAATAGCATGTATACTCACTGAATTTTAAAAAAGACATGTTCAAAGATTGAAGAATAATTTGAAAAAATGGAGATATTTGGCTTAGTTCTTTGGTAGTTCTTTTTTGAATTTTAATGCTTATATAATACGATGATAGAAGATAATAGAACATGAATAAGATCATAAAGCTTTGTAAAGGCTGCATATGTTATAGTTTTCCCTCTCCAAGAAAAGCAATACAATTAGATGTAACAGAGTAAGGAAATTAACTTCACCGTGTCTTAGTTTGCTTGTTGAGACATATGTGTGTGGTGGTGGTTGGGAACGGCTTACCACTACAGAGCGTGTAAGGTGGCATAGAGGAAGAGGAGGTAGTTACAGAGTTAATTCTGGTCTTGCCTCTTGCTGATTGTATGAATTTGGGAGGTTGCTTAACTTTGCTGGCCTTAGACTCTCTAAAATAAGAAAGTTGGACTAGATTGTACTTAATATTCCTCCCAAATCTAAATTTCTTCGTTGGTTTATAACTGAATCTTTCTGGTATCTCTTTCAAGGAATTTGATTATGAAGTATCAGAAGAACCTTACTTTAAAACTTCATGTTGTGTTTGAACTGGCACCATTTTTTACACCATATAGTGGATTTCTTTGGAAATTCAAATGTGATGCTTAAGTATTCTAATTAGTTTTGGTTGTGTCTATTAAAACAAATGTATGCATTTTTTCCATAAAAATAATATAATGTTAAGATTTAAAAAGTGAATTGAGAATATATAATCTCATTTTGTCAAAAAAATTACCAAG